GATCACCGGATCGGCCGGAAGTGCTATGAATGGCGTCAATGATTCCGTCGACTTCGTTGTCATCGATGACCACGTCTTTGAGAGCCTTCGCGGACCTATTGTTCTCCAAACCCTTCATAAACATATCTCTAATATTATTGGTCTTTTTGGGCGCCTTCTTCTCCTCATTGTCGTCGTCGGGACGGCTATAGAGCGACCCTTTGGTCGGATTGCGTCTCTTGTGTCCGCCGGAGTCGTGTTTCTTCGCCGCCGACGACGACTGTCTCTGTTGCTGGTCGTCATCGAAGTCGTCGTCGAAGATCTCGCGTCCGGTGTCCGCATAACCGCATCCGTCGTCGTCGACAATCCAGTCGTCGCGCTGTCTTCGGGACACTATCTCCGAGTACTCGTCTTCGTCCACCTCTTCGTAGACGTCCTCCTCTTCGGCCAATTCGTACTTATTCTTCGAGCCCTTCAGTTGTCTCAGTCGATCCAATGCCGACAACTTCTTCGACAACGTTTTGCTCGCTTTGCGCTTCTCTCGAGTGTTGGCTGAAGAGGAATAAGAATGATATTCAGAGACCACACGAAGAGAGGGATGTGTTAAGGGATTCATTGATGAAATACTTACCGATTTCTGCCATAATTAGTGTCCAAAACGTGTCGACAATAATAATAATAAATGCAATCAAAACACAAACCAATTGTCTATCGTTTGCCNCAATAATAATAATAAATGCAATCAAAACACAAACCAATTGTCTATCGTTTGCCGCCTTTACTATTGGCTAACAATAGGCGGCAACCAATCAGAACACGCCGTTTGGCGCCCAAACCTTGCGTCACACGCAATACAGACAACACATGATATGATGTACACTATTGTCGAGTTTGTTATGTTTAATCGTTTTTATACTATTATTTTGTTACTGTTTTATGTTTATTGATTTACTGTTTAGTTTTGATTCAATTGAGACAATAATTAATATTTTTAATTGTGTTTTCATTGCAAACAAATGAATTAATGATTTAAAAGCCAAAACTCAGTCATTAATAACGCGATGCCTTTAATCGCGGGGTTTATTGTTTGAGTGATTGAAATGCACTGAAAGTGGACTTTAAGGGGACTTCAATGCCTTTGTTTACTCATAACGTTATTATTGGACACGAATTGAGTGTAAATACAGTGAAATGACAATTGATTTGCATTGAAGTGAATGAGAAATGAATGCATAAGTGATTGTCATTAGAGGTCGACTATTGACTACTTTGTGACAAAAACACTAAAGTTTCCCAAACTTTATAAAAAAGTTTTGAAAACTTTTGAAAATAATTTTTTGTTATAAAATTCAAACCCATTTCCAAACGCCTCTCATTTGAGAGATAATGAAAACATTTTGACCAATAATTGGGTAGAAATTGATATCAATTCATATGAGATAAACATATCATTAGCTGTACTGACAGTGAGAGTAGACGTCATCGGGAGTTATATTACCACTCAATCACTCATACATTTACATCACTTAAGGCGAGTCAATTGAACCCATGCTTTATGTCCTGAAAATTAATGTTAAAAACATTGCATTTATTTCGCAGACAATCCATTGGTTTGATCGCAACAACTATGGCCTCGAAGACAGTGAAGTTGAATAATGGCCGGGACTTCCCGTTAGTAGGTTTGGGCACTTGGAAGGCACCCGAAGGCGCCGTTTACGAGGCGGTCAAAGCGGCCATCGATGCCGGCTATCGTCACATCGACTGCGCCTTCGCGTACGGCAACGAAGCGGAGGTCGGAAGAGCTTTGAA